CAAAACCCCAAAACCCCAAAACCCCAAAACCCCAAAACCCCAAAACCCCGTGAGTGGAATATACGTAACTTATTCTACAAATAAATATTAGATTACATTAATCCTTATTAGATAATTCATTTGTAAATAGATTCTAGTGAAATTAAATTGAAGCACTGTTTTGAACAAGCAAGGCTTCGAATATATAAAAGTTTCAATACCAACTCTTTCTCATTGCATTGTGTTTGAATGTGCCTTCTTATCTTCCTATTCCTCTTCATTCATTTCTTTGATAACTTCATCTCTTGAGACTGCAGCAAAGAATGATTTACAATGGAAATAGATTGTAATGAAGAGGAAGAAGAAGTATACAATGATGTTGAAGAATAGCCACCAATATTTTAATGGATGGTCTTCCTCACATTCACCTGATGAATAGAAAACTGAATTCATGTAAACTAGAACAGCAAGTTCATAGAAGAAGAAAGCTAAAATGCAGATACATCCGCAGCACCATCTATCTAAGCCAGTCATGCTGCAAACTTGCTCAATAATGTTAGTGGCATGCATACCGAGCATGAGCCAGAGAGTGATTTTGAGTTGATGCCCTTTACAGACTTCTGGTTCTTTGTTCAAGATCACTAAGGTCCCAATCATCAAGGCAGTAGTAATGATTGTTGATATCAGGTTTACTAGGCAGATTGTCTTCTTGTTTTTCTCCTTCATCTCAAGCATCTTAAGCTTAAACTTCTCTTGATATCTAGTTTCCTTTTTATCATGCTTTTTATCGTCGCTCATTTTCAATTTTCTAAGATATAGTACTAATAATTCATCTTAAAATTTCTGCTTTAAATATATTATGACCTCAATACTATGAAACTATTAATACTTGTTAATATTTCAATTTAATAAAATACAAAATGGGAATAAAAGAAATCTTCGACAGCATGAGTAGATTCATGGATCCTATCTTTGGTAAGCTATAATTAAGATTAAATAGCATATTTCAGCTACCAGCTTAGTGGCTTTAGGAGTATTGAGAATCATTTTTGGAAGTTTTGTTGATTCACCAGCAGATGTTTTGGTTGTTGGATATTATTTGTAAATTCTTGGAAATTTAAAATCTTTTTAGCTTCTTTGCTCTTATTCTATACTGGAGTATGATAGGAAAAGAGACTGTCAGAAAATATCTTGGATTCTTATACGGTACATTTTCAAAGGGTTTATTCTACATATTGTAAATTTTCTCTATTAAAAACATTTTTTTAGTTTGGCAACATTAGCTTTAGCCAGATATGATTTTTGGTATGAATTTTGACAATAAAATTTTAATGTAGGGCAAACATCTTATTCGGAATACTTCTAGGAGCAGCTGCAGTGTTCAACATGATTAGATTCTGCTAATCTTCCAAAGATCAAAAGAATGATGAGCCAGTATTGTGAAAGTTAGATATAAGGTAAAATTGTGAGTAATGAAATTCTAATGATTAATTGAGACTGAAAATTTAAGGATTTAATGAATTAACATTTTAAATACACATGAATCATACAATATTTATTTAACTCAATGCTACTTTCCATATTTTTGAGAAAATCTCTAGCTTAAAAGTGATCATTTCATTCAAAACTTCTTCATATAGTAAGCTATATCTTTTGTTTAGTTGAAAGGGTTTTTTTCCTTGATTATTTTAGTATTTTTAATTAGGTAATTGTCAAAATTAACATTTTAGTCTATGAAAGATTTCAAATACTAGCTAAGTTCTTACTAAGTCCACTTGTCCTTTATATCGAATAAAGCATCTAGCCTTTTCTCTGGGCTATTATAACAGAATTCAAACTCTTGTGAATAGTAAGGATGAAGTAATCTTATCACATCATCTTGCTTGTTTACCATTCTTAATTCTTGTACTGGTAGAATAATTGCAGATCCTTTTAAAAATGAGAGATCATAATTGCAATATTGCTCAAATAGATTATTTGAGTAATCACTCATCCCTTTCTTATTTAAAGAGTCATCATCCATATCAGCATCTAGAGAACTTTATTATAATGGCATTGCTAAATCAATAGCATGTTTGAGAGCTGTAATAAATTCGTTAAGATAATAATCTCCCTTAACATACAGCATTGCTAATGCAATTGACTTAGTAATTTTTTGAGAATTCAATTTGTAACTATCATCGCCATTCTGATCTGCAATGTAGTTTAAAGCATATTCTATAATTCTTGAGTCTTTCAAATATCTATCTTTAATTATTCCATCATTATTCTCTTATATTTGCTTTGCTCTGATTCCATCAGTTTAGGAAATTGAATTGAGAAAGATAAGTAAAGAATCTATCAATTCATATAAAGAAAGGGGATCTAGAAATGAATATGTCTAAGGTGCAGACTAAATAATGAAAAATTCATAAGCCTCTTATGAATTTAAGATGTCATCTAATTCCTTTTCACTCATTTAGCATTGTTTCAGTAATTCTGCCTTAGAAATTCCTTGAATATACTCTATTTCACTCTAATTCTCATCTTCACTATTGCTTAAGATAGGGTACTAAATGATGGTTCGTGCAAGTTGATATTTATTGGTTTAAGATTTCTCGAGATCAATTGTGATTGATGTTTACTTATATATCTGACCAGTCTTCAACCCTGCTACAAAGAAAGTGTTTGATGTTTCTGACTTTTTAAGCTTAAATGTAGACTCATTTGAGCTTAATGCTGCAGTTTTTGTCATACCATTAGTATAACTTTTGATTTGAAGATTTTAGTTTCCTTTCAGTATTTATTCTAATAAGATATTGTCTATTTCAAATAATTCATACTGCTTAGATGAAAAATCTGGCACAAATGCCAAATTAACTGATTTATCTTTCAATTGTGCGGGATTTTATTTTACTTCCATAAATTTATTTACTATTAAAATATTTAAAATTAAAAGTTTTAGTTGATAGTTTAAAGCCTTGAAGAAGACAACAAAATTTAAGCAAAATAGATATAATTAAAAATATCAACTTTAACTTATGGAATATCAAACAGAAACTCATTGTAATACTCAAGCGGCACCTGGACACAATGATTTAGAAAGCAACACTCGAAAAATATTCTTCTTAGATGTCCATCAACTTTAAAGCAAGGACTAAAGCCGACTTGATAGTATCTTTAGTACTATTGATTAGTATTTGATTGCCAAGAATTCTGATAGAAAAGATCATTTGAAACATTATAGAGACATCCCAATTCCTCTCGAGAAACTTTACAAAGACTCAGACTACGTTAAGAACAGACATGGCCATGATATTCAAGTTAAGATAGATCCCTATGTCCAGAATAAGAAGAAAAGAAGATAAATATCTTTGATAAAAGACTCATTTGGTCAAGAAGAAGAAGTATTATTCCAAAGATTAAATCAAGCCTTTGCATCACTAGCTAATGAATTTGAAGGAAGGTCAATATTTGAAATCACAGAAATTTTCATGAGAGTAAGTGGAGATCTCTAAGCTGTTCGAGATTACCTATAGGGTAAAAGAGTTGTGGAATGGTAATATTTAGAGGATATTGGATTGTCTTAGCCAGAGACTTCTACTGAATATAGATGCTTAATTACAACAAAAGGTCGTGAGGAAGTAGAAAAGAGGAAAAGGTTCTTACTCTCTACTGCAAGTCTCAATTAGTTTAGAAACGATAATAAAGAGAATGAAATGATGGATATGAATTGAACTGAATGATTACTTTTTTAAAAGAGATGAAGCTAATTAATTGCGGTAAATCTTGAATTAAACAATTTTTAGTTTTATTAATTACTTAATATGATTATTTGCCTATCAAAAAGATATTATATAAAATGAAGATATTACAAGCTAATCGTGATAACAAACTAAGTCTTAATAACAATAAACTAATCTACTGCTCACATAAAGTCATACTCCTCTTCTTGAACCTTCTTCTTTGCTTTAGTAGAGCCAGTATAATCTTCTTCACCATACTCTCCCTCTTCATCACCGTAGTCATCCTCTCCGATCATTGCACTAATAATCTATGCATCTCTGGTGTTCTTTCCAGCTGTGAGTTGTGGAGCTTTCTTTGCTTTAGCTTTACCAGACTTATCCTTTTCCTTTTCCTCCTTGACTTTCTCGTTGTAGAGAGTGGTAACAGTATCAAGAATTTCCTTAATCTTCTTTGATTCTAGTTATCCCTGTAAATCCCTTAAGACCTCCTTGAAGAATGATGGAATTCTGTAAGGGGCTTGTCCTTGATAAAGAACGCCCGAGACTTTCTTACCAAAGCCAATATAGTCTTTCTCAGAATTTAGGGATTATGAGGTCACGTTCATGTCGGCAAATAAACTATCAGCGATGTCTTATTCAGCAACTTTTGACATATACTCTCCTCTGGCATCTTTACTCATGTTTTTAACAGCCACATCTTCCAAGGCTTTTTGGGTGTTTGATTTGTGGTTATTTCTCTCTTCGAATAACTTTTCGTAATCTTTCTTTGTTGATTGTTTCTTCTTTGTAGAGGCGGCAATGGGCTAGCTCTTTTGCTCCTCAAGCTTCTTCTTTCTCTCTTCCTCAGAGTTGTAGTTGTCCTCGTCTGCAAAAGTCTTCTTCTTCTCTTTGTTCAAGTTCTTTTCTAGCTCCTCATCGTCTTCGAGCTGCTTTTCTATAAGGGAAAGTGTTAAATACCACTAACTAATTACCCCAATCGTCGTCGCTTCCACTCATAAGACACAAATATATATTTTGTTTTCTATTTATTATTAATAATAATTTTTTGTTTTTTAAGCACAATTAATCGAATGGGGTTTTGGGGTTTTGGGGTTTTGGGG